CATGCTATTTTAAAAATGGATTTGTGTTTAGGAAATACTTGTTCATGATAAAAGTGGTGTAATGGTTGGGAAGGGTCTCCATGAAAGGTCACTGTCCTTCTCACCCAAGGTCCCTGCTCTCCTTCTGTGTTTCGGAAGAAACAACTGTTAGGACCTGGAAGTGTGTGCCTTTGCATTGATAGTCTCCACGTACCAGCGCGCATAACATGGCTCTCCCTTCTGCCTCTTCCTTCCAAGTACCCGTTACTGGGCATAATGAGCTTTCCCTTCTTTTAGTGACTGCCTGGCCTTCCTTTCTCTTGATGTACCAGTATGGACTCAGTCAGCTCCAAGCCCATTGAGGTCATGCCAGCCCTTTGCCCCCACAAACAATGCTCTACAAACCTGTTTGTGTATATGTGTGAGGATGAATTCCTAAAAGAAGAATTGCCGGGACGTGTATGTGCATTTATAATTCTGAGGGAAATTGCCAAATTGTCGTCTATGGGCGTTTGCAGTTTGCTTTCCCACCAGCAATTTGTAAGCGTGCCTGCTTCCCCAAGCTTTTGCCAACACAGGTATTATTTGATTTCTTTTTAAAAAAATGTTTTTTTTGTTGATAATAACAGTACATCTTGTGGTTTTAATTTGTATTTCTCATTGTGAGAGAGGTTAAGCATCTTTTCATGTTTTAAGAGCCATCTGTACTTTCGTTCTTGTTTTTTCCTTCCTCACTGATTCGATATACTATAATTTGAGCTCAGTGGTAAACATCAGCCGTACTTGCATCTTGCCCTCTTTCCAGTCCTTCCTCAGATTCCTCCTGGCTTAAAAGCAAGTGAACCCAACCAGACCATTTCTTGTGGGCCTATACCTGTTGATGTAAATCAGATGGGCAAATTTTGTTAGGAAACGAAATATTTTAAAAGAAGCTTTGCTGGTAGATGAAAAGAAGGCCCAGTGGACGTAAGCAACAGAGAGAAGGAGTAAGTGGTTGAGCAGACGCTTGGGAAGTAACTAGTGGACGGAGCAAGGGAAGAAAGTGAAACAGAAAGCAAGCCGGGAAGGTACAGCTGGTGTCCTGCAGTGAGAAAGTCCCTCCGATGGAAAATGGAAAATTGGTAAGCGCCTGAGAAATCTGCTTGATGCGTCTGTTGTTATGTTACCCTTCCAACAGCAGTAAGTTCTCTCAAAAGGAAACAAAAAAGGGTGAATGCCAACTTCTCCCAAGGATATATGAAAAGTGTGCTTTTCCTTATATGTTTTCAGCAGCCTTGATAAAATCATTTAAAACAATGAATCTGATAGGAAAGGCAACCACTAAGTGACTTGAGTGCAGCAAACAAATTGTCTCAAAGTGTGTGTCATTCCTAAGAAATGGGAGCAGCTGGGATTTAGGCCCAGATAGAATCCAGAGGTTTATTTGGCATAATTGTTTACAACATCTCACGAAGAGGGGATTTTTAGGAAAATTCTTTTGGAGTGAGATTGCTTTACATTCCTTTTCATGACTGGAAAGTCTCTTGTTTGAGAACCAACAAAGAGCTTCAGAAACAGAGGGCTTAAGATCTCTGGATACATTTGAATTTTCTCGTTATGAACATTTACACCTTTTATCGGTGACAGTCCTCTGTGGTCTGACCCATGTGGAGGGAGAGGGTGTTCTCCGGAGTTCTGTGTGGCACAGAGTCTCCTTTTCCCTTGAAGCTAGTACTGCCCCACGGCCTTCCACGTGCCACCTGCTCTCAGGAAGAGTGGGAGAGCTGTCCACTGCTCCAAGCCTCTGAGAGGGGCCTGCCGGCCCCTTGACTTACCTTGACTTCCCCAGCTGGATCCTGGAACTGTATTTGAAGCTATTCACTTCATTCTGTCTTTGCTGCTGTTGATCGGGCCACTCCTAAGTCCTGTACATGTGGACTGGTTCTGAACTTCAGAACGTTTAGTCGTCTTTACCTGGTAACAGAAGGACCCTCTTATGGGAGCTGTGATGGCCACATGAATCTTACTCATTTTCTCACGCTTATTGGAAAGGGATCAGGCAGGATAAGGCATTCATTGGTTTGTATTTATCTAAAACAACAATAAGTAGATTTTAAAAATTTCCTTGAAACCTTATGATCTAAGAAGAGAGACTTTTTATCTGTTTTGGGGAGGCTTCTTGAGGCTTGGACATTACCTGCTGAGAGTGTCTCGTGATGTTTTTTGTGAGATTGGACAGGATGAAATGAAAGCAGAAACGTAGATAGAGGATGCTGAGAGTGTTCCTGTTTCCTAAGTAAACAGAGAGCTGGGGCTTGGGACTGATGCCGCTGTCTCGCAGACTCGATGCTCTGCTGCAAGTACAGACACGGCTGTGTGTGAGCTCCCCATGATACACCTGACACAGGGAATCCTGGGGACGTGGTCACGCTCCTGTCGTGTGTATGGACAGTCTGGCTGCTTCCTCCATGTAGTCTTTTTCTGCTCTGAGGCTCTGCCCTCCTATGTCTGAGCAATCCCCCATTACAGGCATAGGATAATGTCTTCGTTACCCCAGACTTCCCTGTTTGACATGGATTACTTCAAGTTCAAGGAGTGAGAGGCTATTTGTCTTGATTTCAGCTTCCCATCTGAGACCTCGCTCCTCCCAGGACACTGATCCTGAGAGGGCCTCATTCTCCTCCCATAGGGTTTGCCTTCCCTTTAGAATACAGGAAAGTGTGCATGGTTTCAGGAGGATCATGTCCTTACAAAGACAACAGGGAGGGAGATGACTGGGTAACTCCCCGTCTCCTGGATGAGCAGTGTACTCTTCTGTGCCTCGTGTGGGGAGGGAGTTCCTTCTCCACCTCAGTCCAAGCAACCAAACTTGACCCAGCAACATACGGGGAGGAGAGCTGACCTCCTAGCTCAAAGACAGGACAAGAATGTAAATATAACTGGACATTCCTGTCCTCCTTCCCTCTGGGGCCTCCTTGGGGAGGCATGGTGACAGCTCTCTCTTCTCTACAATACACCATGACCAGCTTGTGGTCTTCATGATACGTTTCTGGCCTTGCCTACAGATGCTGAACAGAGCTGGTCACCTTCAGAAGTAAAAGAAGGGAGAAGAAGTTCAAGAAGTCTTTTTGTCTCAGAATGGGGGTAGGACCGAATATCAGAGAACAGGCAGATTGTAGGAGTTTGGGACCTTAGTGTGGCGACCCTCAGCCTTCTTCCCTGTAGTGATAAACAGGAAAAGCCCTGTGTGCTCATCTCGGGAGTCGAGACAGCAGAACACTAGCCAGGCTGGGGCAGAGGAGCCCCCAGGGGTGGAACGTGTGATGGCCACCCAGACGGAAGGCGCTTATGCAATGGGAAGGTAACAGCATAACATCCATGTGGGTCCCGAGACCCCTCTCAGTTTGAGGAAAAATCGTGACGAAGTAGTGACAGGTCATTTTGGGGATGTCATTTTCGTGTCTCCAAATGAATTAAACTTTAGATTCTTAAGAACTTTGACCAGTAATGCTTTCAAAGAAAAGAATGTATTCATAGGCACATTCAGTTAGGAAATAAACATGCCTTCTTTGGTGACTCAGAAGATGTGGTAACTGAGTAATGCAGCATGATTTTAGTATATACATGTGACATCAGAACACGTAACCTATTGGATCAGGTTTCTTGAGGCTGAGTTGGATTTAAAATGATGTTTAATCCCTTTGCTGGGGAGCAGGAAGAGCAGTCCCATGAACACCTCCATCAGACTACCATCCCTGGCTCTCTTCAGGCTGGTGCATTTGCTGGAGAGGGAAGACAGGGAGAGTTTCTGAACAGTGGTGCCACCTGTCCTAGTGGCTGACCCATGTCAGGGTCCTGTAGCTGGAGTAGCAGGATGAGAGTACACCCCTGGGAGTGGCACTTAGCAAGAGTGGGCTAGGTCTCAGCCGAGGAGTTGTGGACCAGAGTGGGGCTTCCCTGAATCAGGGAAAAGGACTAAGGGCCACTTGAGTGGGCCTGGGGAAGGGGGGGAGGTGATGCAAGCTTGCTTTTGATAACAGACTCATAGCACTGTTGTCCTGTGGCTGTTTAGGTTGCATGGAGCAGGTGCTCACTCAGGCTAACTGTCCTAAGGAGGTGAGAACACGTTTATATGAAAAGGCATGGGGCCATGAGGGCCATGGAAACTCAGGAATCTGAGCCTTGATAAGGCTTAGCAAGGGTCCCGCAGAGGCTGGAGTGGGAGGCTGGGGGACCCTCTAGTGGTGATTTTGCATCCTAAGCTCAGCTATACTCACTCTTCCTGTTTCTCTCTGTCCTCTTCTCTTCCCACTGTGGTGCTTCCTCACCCTTCTAGGTCTTTTCTCTAATTTTGGCTAGTTCACGACCCCTCAGAGCCCCTACTCTATCTCATGACCTCTTGCTATACTTTTCTTTCAGATTTACAGTGTCTTGATTGTTTTCTTAATTCATAATCCCAAGATTAGAACTCGTGGGAGCATTCTGTGCTCAGCCCCCTCCTGGGCCTGGGTAGCTATGGATTGGCCGCCCTGTGGTCAGGTAGGCCTCCCCTTTGTATGAAGAGCTCTGGCAAGGTAGCGAAGTTTCATGGACCAGCGTGAGGCTGTGAGTAGGAGGGTGCTCTTACCTTCTGCCAGCCTTGATTAGGCTCATCCCAGGGAGCAGGTTAAAGAGTGCTGGCATGGGGAAGCCAGTGCTGCCAGGGATGGTACCTCACCTTTCTTTTGTATTTGCATACACCTTGTAAGTCCTTGGTTTCTTGACTTATGTATGAACTAGTGCAATTTAGATGCTTAGGGAATAAATGACCACTCAATCTGCAGATTGGTGGTGCTGTTCCAGAGTCTCAAATCTTTCTTGGCTACACTTCTACCCCAGATAAGAAGAATGCCATCTGATTTGTCTTTACCTGCTGTCACTCACTGAGCAATAGGAAATAGCAGACATTCTTAGATTCTCTACCCATTGCCACTCAGAAGGAGGTGGTGTTCATGGTCCCCTTGACTCTTTCCTGAAAACTGATCGGATGTGTGTCATTGCAGGCTGGAGGTCCTCCACTGGCGTCAGCTCCAGGGTCCACCTTCCCTCGCACTTCTGTCACGCCATCCAGTCAGGACATCTGCAGGTAATACTCTGCTTCAGATGCTACGATGGGTCACGTGCATCCCAGAAATAGGCATTAGTGTCTGTAGGTTCTCCGTTTCCCATTTGCTTGGTCAATATGCCTCTACTCTAAACAGTTGACCCAGTTTTCTGTGCTGTTTGCTCACCCAGTTACCACACGAGTCTCATCTCTTCACTTCGATGTCTATTCTCTTGTAAAATTGTTTTTACTTTCTGTGCTTTTATTCCACTGTTCTCTGCATGCAGTTCCAGTGCAGTGTTTTCTGAGTGTTGTCACCACAGTCCCATGCAGTCTGCTGTTGTCTTGAAAGCTCCTCAATGCCAGAGTTCTCTGACACAAGGGCTCACTGTGACAGTTCTCTGTAAAGACACATTGCAGGCATCAAAGAGAAATTCCTGTGGTTCAGAATGGGTCCAGGTGTCAAAGCCTGCTAAAAATACCAAAGCCAGAAGAACACTAAAGTTCTCAAAATCTCTAAACGATATGGGCGAGAAGGCCCAGGATACTTTGGGAAGTTTTGACTATGTGGAAAGAACTTGCTCTGAAGGGAAACTGATACTCCCCCAGGATCTGTGTCTCAGAATTAACAGGTTCCATCCTAAAGAAAAAAGAACACTGAGTTGCAAACCTCTTGGCAATTCCAAACATTCTTGTGTTTCATCCCTTTCTGCCAATCATTCAATGGCCTCAGAGGTGGAAGCTGGTAAGGGGGGCATGCACGTCCCGCTTTTGGAAGAGAAGGCAGATGGCGAGGCCATGTCCAGAAGCCGGCGACTGCTCCGGTACTTGTTCTCACTCTCGCACGGCTCGAGTGCCAGCAGCCTGCAGAGGTTCCACGAGCTGGAGAGTTGTGCCACCCACCTGCACACCACCAAGTCCTCCAGCGGGCTGGCAGGGAGCGTGGGCATCTGCTCCGACGAAATGGGAGATGACGATGTCTTTGAGGACAGCACATCTGCAAAACTGAAGAGCAAGGTCCTGCGGGCACCCCTCTGCTCAGTGGAGAAGGACAGTGACCTGGATTGCCCTTCTCCCCTCTCTGAAAAATGCCCCCCCATTTCTCCTGTGTCCGCGTCAGGGGATGCCTGCAGGTTGGTTTGCCAAGAACCACCATTCTGGCCATCTCTGCATCCCACCTCCATGGCCTCATCTTGCTTTAATATGTGAAGTTTCAGGAAAATGAAGTAATAGGCAGTTGTAGACAATTACGGGTTAATAGTTTTCTCCAGACGAAGGGAGTATTGGTAATCATTTGAAAATCAATTTTTATGACATGGGTCTCAAGTTAGTTTCACAAATGATAAAGAGGAAGAAGCTACACATATTAAAGGCCAAGCTGACTCTTCTCAACTAAGAATAAGTAGACTTTGCATAAAGAAATTGGAAGAAAGAAAATAGTATCTCCAGTTTTCTAGCTTGATGGTCTAGATATTAAGCATTGGCTGCCCCCCTTGGCCTCATTTCCACCCCTTGCTCCACCTGTAACACAATGTGCATGGGAGAGGCTGTACTTCAGCAGCTCCTTCCTGCCTTCTTTTTAACTTGGATCCAGCCACCTCTACCCACATCCTAACTCCACTTCCCACCTTCACTTTACCGTATGTAGCATCCTTGTCTCGCCTCCAAAATCTTTCCGAATTCCGTTTTTGTCTGTGTCTTCCCCCTTCCAACCCTTTCCCCAGTTGCCCCTCCTCAGGCCACCTGTTACTCCTAACAGTTGGCTCAGAAACCCCTCTCGCAGAAGCGAACAGCTGAGAACCCGGCCAGGGCCCGAGCCCAGCTCCTGTCAGCCAGTGTGCGTACCTCCTCTCCAGCTGCTGGAAAGACCTTTCTGTTTCTCAGAAGCCCATTCAGTTCCTTGAGGTTTGCAGCTGTATCCTCTTGCATGCACCCTTAGAAATAATGATTTAGAATTCTCACTTATTGCTGTGAGTGGTCCTGACAAAAGAAATGAAATTGCAGCACCTTATAATGGTTTTTTAGGCCCAGGAGAGTGCTGTGATTTTTCTGTTCACCCTCTGAGAGAGGACGGAAACGTGTAGTTGTGGTGTGTGACGGTGAGCTCAGGGATTGTAGCCAGAAAGCAAATTTCGTCATCATCTTAAGTCACTGGTATTTTTGGAAGGTAGAATGCCAGTTTTGTTTTACACAGAATGTTTTCCTCTAATAATTTTAACATCTTAAGTTCTGGACGATGCTTTCATGTTGCCTTAAATTCGTCTATCACTGAAGTTTTTAAGTTTTACCAAAAATGACTGCTTTGTCATTTCTTATATCATTTTTTCTTCTCTGATGCCAAATGCCATCCAGACTTTCCATGTCGGTGCGGTAAGCTAGACATTTTTAGTTTGTAGTAATTGTTCTCATTTGTGTTTGTATGTTTTTGTGCTTGTAGTCACTTCTGTGATGTCTGTTTCTGCAAGTTTTCTTTGGGGAGATTGACCTTCCATTGAAGCGTCATCTTCCCTGCCACTTGGCCCTCCTCGTAACGGCTGGCTTTCCTCCTGCTGTAGGATCTGTCACTGTGAAGGGGATGACGAGAGCCCTTTGATCACCCCCTGCCACTGCACGGGGAGCCTGCACTTCGTGCACCAGTCTTGCCTGCAGCAGTGGATCAAGAGCTCCGACACGCGCTGCTGCGAGCTGTGCAAGTACGAGTTCATCATGGAGACCAAGCTGAAGCCCCTGAGGAAAGTACGTGTGGGGACACCCCAGAAGTGCTTCCACCCCGCCGAGAGGAGGGCCCCTGTGGGAGTTCGCGTGCTGGGCTGGACGCAGCCGTGGCGTGCCTGTGCTCAGCTCTTTAAGAAGTGGGGGCTGGTGCATGCGCTCCTGTCCTAGGGCTTACTGGTTCTGGTACTGATTTCCAGGTCCCTCCTCCCAGGAAGAAGCTCTTTCTGACCATTCAGTCATAATGTTTTCTTCCTCCTTCAAGCTAGACTGCTTGCTTGTCTGTCAGTCACTCAGCCCTTGACCACAGACTGTTTTGTGACACCTTAATCCGCATACTCTATACGTATTAACTGTTCATGTCTTGCCTCTGATTAGGACTGTGTATGAGAGATTAGTCTCTCTCTGCAGCACAAAGCACAGTATAATGTAGTAAATTTATTTGTGTATACCTGTGATAAGTGTTTGCTGGATGGGAGGGTGAGGGGTGCATGGGAAAAGAAAGGAACACAGGCACTGGGGAAAACAGAGCTGTCATCAGTCCCCATGTCATCGCTCCTGAGGGCAGCCTCGTCCTGCACGTACCTCTCTTGTAAACAACGACTGTTTGTGTACTATCTCCCTCCCTGTGCCCAGCAGAGAAGGCTTTGTTTGGAAGAATAAGGCTTGTTCTTATCTGAAGACTTTAATATGTCAGTTGCAGGGGGAATCTCATAATCAGAGAAGAGCACATGACAGTGCTGATTACATGCTAACTTACATGGCAGTAGAGCACGTGGGACATTCAGAGGAGTACCCAGTGTGGGCTGGTGCACTGGGGAAGTAGAGTGGTGGGAGCATCATAAGATGTCTGGGTGTTGAAGCAGTTCTTGCAGGGTCAATAGGATGTGGAGGTGAAGTGAAAGGAGTTGAGAGAGGTTAGATTGTCTAGTCTCAAGAAAAGCATACACCAAAAAGGTGAGGGTGAGCATTTCAGGAGAGTGTGAAAGGCTTGAACTGAGGTGTCTTAGGAAATAGCAGGAAATCAGGGAGCAGGGGAGCATTTTAGGAAGGAAGCCAAATGAAGATACTGCATCAAACCATAGCAGAAAGCAATCTTATGTTAGAGAAGGCAGGCGCAAACTACTTAAAAAGTGTTTTGCCCCATAAAAGACATAATTTATTCAGTACCTACTCTATGCTGGTCTCTCAAGCAAGTCTTATTGCATTTTGACCAATATAGATAATCCATGAGGCTCTGCTTTCAGCTTATCCTGCACAGAACCATCTGGAAAGAGACTGTGACTAGGGCTGGCAGAGGATATGCAGAGTGTTTACACTTTGTTCTTTTTCTCTACCTTTATGTGTTTTCTTCTGATTCCGAAACTGGTAATGAAAAAGAAAATCTGGCTATTTGGAGTAAATTATTGAGCTCCTAGAGGAGATGGGACTGGCAGAGACTGCTTGTACCAGGAACTCTTAGCATCGATTTCAAGCTGTTGCTGCCAAAGTAGCAGAGGACCAAAGAGTGAGCACCTTCTGCCATTGCCTTCACGACGTAGTGTGACCCATCTGCTAGTGTGTCATGGCGTCATCAACCCTTTTTTGCCCCTTACCCATGCCAGTCAGCAAGTCAGGGAAATTTAAAATGTGCCACCCGGGTCTTGGGGCCAACATGCTGTTTTCATCGGGACTGAAACCACAGAATCCTTTATCAAGCCATTTGGTGTCTGCTTGCAAGAATAAGCAGACAAGGGGATTGCTGGTGGTGGCTCTTAGCTCATCTCAGTCCCAGCTTCTTTTCATTGCATAGAAAGTTGGCTGTAGACAGAATGCCAGTGCCTGGTACCTGGTTGAAGCCAAGTGGTTTAAAGAGAACAACTTTGGGTATTTGGGTAAATTCATCTAGGGAAAAGGGGAGGGGAGGAAAGCCAATCTTACTCATCTACAATGCTCTCACCCAATTGGAGCCCTTTACGTCTGTGGGCCTGCGCCTCATGCTCTGTGTGTTGTCTTTCCAGTGGGAGAACTTGCAGATGACGGGCAGCGAGCGCAGGAAGATCATGTGCTCAGTGATATTTCATGTCATCGCTATCGTCTGTGTGGTCTGGTCTTTGTACGTGCTCATTGACCGCACCGTTGAGGAGATCAAGCAGGGACATGCAACAGGTATGTGCTCAGAGTGAAAGCGAGCTCAGCAGAGGGCCTAGGATTGGAACAATATTCCAGATTGATTTGCAAGTCAGACCTCAACGGTCTGGGTTTCTGGAGGCAGGCATCAATTATGAGGCACCAAGCATCCTTTTTGGATGTTTCTCTTGCCGTGGGTGTTTTTAAAACCCAGAAGAGATGAAACCATGGAGAGTGAGGCCCTCCACAGACTCCCTCCTGGAAGAGCAGGATGAGAGGAGGCAGACAGCCCCTTCTGCCCCACCTGTGACGAAGCAAGATGCGATGTGTTAAGAATCGCTGGTTATGGGAAGTTCAGAAGTTGCGTTTTATTTAGTTCACATCGTAAATAAGATCTGCTGATAGGCTAACCAAGTGTTTCCCTTCCAGGAATCCTAGAGTGGCCCTTTTGGACTAAATTGGTAGTGGTGGCCATCGGCTTCACTGGCGGACTTCTTTTTATGTATGTTCAGTGCAAAGTGTACGTGCAATTATGGAAGAGACTCAAGGCTTATAACAGAGTAATCTATGTTCAAAACTGTCCAGACACAAGCAAAAAGAGTACTTTTGAAAAATCTGCACTAACAGAGCCCAACTTTGAAAATAAAGATGGACGTAGAATCTGTCATTCCGACACAAGCTCTTCTTGCACAGAACCTGAAGACACTGGAGCGGAAATCATTCACATCTGATTGTGTGGGGGTGTAGTTTGCCTGGACATCCACGAACAGCTGAAGGAAATTGTTTACTGCCAACTGTTGTACCTTTTCTTCTGTCCTTTAATAGCATAGACCGGGCAGGTGACTATTTTTAATGGCTTCTCTTTTTCTAAACCCTCCTTAGTGAATCTCCTGGAGAGTCCTCACGTCGGCTGTGCACAGCGAGGTTCCACTTCTGTAGCACGTCCATGGGAAGGGAAGGTGGAGGACCCCGTGACGCTGTGCTGGGGAGCTGGCTGGGTTCTTGCCTGTGGTCTTGAGCAGCATGAGAGAATAAAATGCCAAACCTGAGGGGAGAGCAGCAGCAGGTGGCACCCAGAGCCTGAGGCGCCGCCTCTGCCAGTTGGCAGAGGCCCCACCTTGGAGCGGAGTGTTTGGGAGCCTGGAGTCACGATGAGGCGATTTCCCTCCTCACTAAGGACTGCCCAGGGGATGAGCTCTCTCTGCTGAGGCCAATGCTACCACTGACAGGTCTCTGAGCGGACAGGGGCTGCGGTGCTCTGTGCATGGTGGCAAGTGATTCACTAAGCAAACAGCACTTTACAAAAAGAGAATCTTTATTTTGTGATATGTGTGTCCAGTGGGATCCACACTTCAAAGAACGTCTCATTTTCAAACCTTCCCTTCGTGACCCTGATTATCTCTTTTACATTGTAATAGATCTAAAGCCTTTTTGCCTTACATAGTCTGAGAAACGTGAGAAACGTGACATCCACCCTGTGTCCATAAAAGGGACTTGTCCAAAAGTGGGACAAACAGATGTGAGGCTTTTTCATAACATTTCCTGGGAGTTAATGGATGCTAAATGGCAAGTTAAGCATAATTCCTGTGGTTTCGAGCCTGTTTTATGGGAAGTCTTTATGTCATAGGCCCACTCTCAAAGTTTCTTTTTTGTCAACACTGCAAAAGAAGGGTTTATGAGATCTAAATGAAACGAGAGAAAATGAGTAATTAGAACAAAATTGAATATTTAAGACCTGTTCCTTTACAGACCCGCCTCTCCAGTGTGCTGGCTTCACGCCGAGAGGGAGTGTGCACTGCGGGGCTCCTGGACGCCTGCACCTCGGCCAGCTTCTGCGCCTGGGAGAGCCTGTGCGTCACTGCCCAGGGCAGAGGCAGACAGGCTGGCTCAGGGACGAGGGCCCGGAGTGAGCAGCGAACTGCCATGGGCCACTGTGTCACTGCCCCCAGCCACACCCCCACCCGTTTGTCGCCTTAACTGGATTGAACAGAAAGGATCCTTTAAAAGGGGCCCCTGGCCCTGCTCTCAGTCTGTTCTGTCGTCAGGGATTATCTCCTGTACCATTTTTCATAAAACAAACAAAACCAAAATCACCACCATCAAATGGCCTTTGTCCCTTTAAAAAGTCTGCTTAAAATTCTATTTTTAAAAACCAGTTTCATCGCGCCAGGCAAATAAGAGTCTCCTGCAGGAGAACAGGCCCGAGGGCCTGCAGTGTGACAGGAGGACACCCTGAGCCTCCTCTCAGGCCGCTCGAGTCCTCAGAGCCGCCTCTGGGGAGTGAGGGCCCTGAGGGTCCTGCCCTCGGGCCTGGGCCTCAGGTGCTTCATCCGCCCTGAGAAGAGGAGGAAGTGGACACAAGATGGGTCCTTTGCCTTCCCCTGTGGAAGGCCTGTGGTTTGTTTTGAAAGCCAGGAGGAGGCTGCAGGTCCCCAAGCTCGCGGGGAGGGCATGTGCTCACGGGCTTTGCCCAGCCATCTCTTCCTGCCCAGGGTCTGGCTCATCAGAATCACTGTCCTGTCTAAGGAACTGCTCGGCTGTGACCTTCCTCCAGCCACAGCCGACCCCTGAAAATAGGTCAGCCTGCCCTCTCTCTGTCTCTCAGCCACATCCAGCCTGTGCCTGTGTTCTCTGTGCCCCAAAGTGCGATTACCCACGCCCCTTCTCAGCCTGAGGACACCAGGCAGCTAGACTGTCCACTCAGGAGGGCCAAATCAGAAAAGGGTTGTCCTTGCCAGCCACTAACAGCAGGTGAGCAGTCAAGTAAAGACTGGGAGAGATTTTTAAGTGGTTCCTTTCCCCCAGTGGAACCCTTTACGCTGAACTTGAAAAGCACCGAGAGGTCCCGTAGAGAGGAAAGCGTGCTTAGGTAGGGGTGGCGCCTGGGCAGTCCCGGTGTGGCTGGCACGTCCTCTGGCAAAGGTGCCTTTCCCCATGACTGTTGTGTTGCTCCCACGCCCGGCCATATTCTCCTGGGAAGCCCTCTCTGCCTGTCAGGAAGGCCTGACCCCATCTCGTCACCTCCAGCCGAGCTCCTTAAAAGCCTTCTGCCTGTGGACAGTCTGTCCCGTGTCCTTCTTTCTTCTCCTAGAATGGCACACAGCTGCCCCCTTGCCTTTCTCTTTTATTGCAGGTTCTAGTTGAGCACATCTGACCCCATTCTTGGTCCCAGCTCCAACCTCTATCCTCCAGGGACTGACAGTGAGGCATGAAAGCCTAGCAGGGTCGTGCTGTGCTGCCATCTAGTGGGAGCAGCAGGTCTGCCAGGTGTCCCTGTAGTCTGTCAGCTTGCCCTCCAGCTTCTTTTGGGGGTTGATTATTCCCCGGGTTTTCCTCAGTTTGCACCTGGCTCCAGCGGGAGGATGGGCACTTGGCTGAGCCATACGGGTACGCGGGATGAGCTCATCCGTCTCAGGGCCAGGAGCGCTGGTAGTTGTGGGCCAGGCAAGCGGGAGGGGGAAGCAGCCTCGGGTGTCACCAGCCAGCCCTCTCTGATTTGGCCTTTACTCCCCCAAAAGTTACAGTACCATTCAAGGGCTTCTGACTTTGGCTGCCAGCAGTAATTTGTTTTTTTGTCCAAGTTTAAGATTTTTCTGGAAACCATAAAAGGCCTCTTCCTACTCCAGGCCTCTAATGTCTCTTCCTTTTTTGCTTCAATCTACTCTTTCCAATCTTATGGGTCTAGTTCCCAAACCTACCGCTGTGCCCTCCGTGGCTACGGACATGCAGGCCCCAGGCGGTTGGGCCACTGCCAGAGCCTCAGGTAATGCCGCAGGGTTGGAGCTGCTCCTGCGGCCTGGTGGGGCACAGGGTGGAGGAGGACGGGCCAGCAGGGCGAGGCCCGCAGTGCTGTGAATTGGGCCTGTGCAAATACACTTTGAAATACTTTCCCTTTTGGATCTGATTTGAAATATGCAGCTTCTGTCTCCAGCCCAAGGAAAGACCGGAACAGAGGTAAATAAAAGCATTTATCTTTGTTTGGGAAGGAATTAAGTTGTGTGGCTCATCACCTACTTAGATGCAATGTTTATAGAAAGTTGATTGTTAATAAAAACCAAATTTACACTGGCATGTGTGGGGTAGTTTCTAAAAGGCACTTCACATTTGAAGTTTTTCTTAACTTAGGAAGTTTCTAGTTACCTAAATGTCTAGTTTTGTATCCTTTTGTGTATGCTCACTGTTTCTCAGTATTACCACTTGAATAATTCTCTGTACAGGGGGGTCGTTTGCGCTATACCTGGGGTGTCTACTTGCAGCAATAAAGCATTTCTTTAAAAAGGAGCTTTACCATGCAAGTGTTTTCCTGCAGGAGGCTGCGGCGTGGGCGCACGCTCCGCAGTCCTGATCCCTTTCCGAGTTCTTCTGGCCTGCGTGTCAGGGAGGAAAATCATCCCATCTCTGGAGGTGTCTCTTCCTCAGTCTGTCCCTGCAAGGGAGGGTGGCCCCCCCAGTCACTGGTGGTTGGTGGAGAGGGAGGGTTGTGGAGGGCGTGTGGGCGCGGCAGTGAAAACCGAAGCAGTTCACAGGTGCGCTTATTTCAACCATCCGGGCTCTACTTGGACTCACTGACCTGAGAGGAGCCAGACTGAAGTTCAGGGTGTGAATGGCAACATGACTGTTGGAATAGTCGACTGCTTAACTAACCTTATCCATTTACTGAACCACAGCCCAGCTGAGGGGAGAACCAGGGAGGACCAGCAGGATTGCTGCCCATGGTTTAGCCCGGCTGCATCTCCTGGCTCCTGACTGGGCTTCCCTGAGTAATGGCAGTGCCACTGACCCTCCAGTCTCAAGACTGCGTACAACTACAGCACTGTGAGTGCTGAGGGGGGCACACGGCCTTACCTGTGCACCAGGTGGAGGGAGGGAGGCCGGGATTCCTGGGGACATGCTGTGCCCTTGGTGAGCCAGGAGAATTCATCCACAAGTTAAGGGCACCACGGTAGGCTGCCAGGAGAAGTGTCCTCTTGCCTGCCTTCTGTGGAGAAAAGGTCCCCAGAACTGAGTGGAGCTCTTGAGGCTCCAGTGGAGGACGTGACCGCAGGGCAGCTGAACCTGCTTAGGGATGTGCTTGTAGTAAGGAGGGAAGCCAGGATGCGCCCTGAGCTCAAGCGCGCAACTGTTGGTGGGAGGGAGTGGTGAGGACGGGGAGCTGAAAGAGGAACCGGCTTCTGTAAGAAGGTGAGATGGGGGCTCTGAAGAGGAGTTTCTATGCTTTGGGGACCAGATGGATTTAATGAGTTTGGCTGAAGAAGACATCAAATGGGGTCTTGTCGCAGGCAGGCTTAAGACAATGCTGCCCCCAGCCCTTTCTGCCCTTTGACACCCGCCAAAATGATGGGCGTAGGGCTGCTGCATGGCACACCTCTAGGGTGCACTTTTAATCCTCTGTGTCAGGGGGTGGCCAGCCTCCTGTTTTGTAAGTAAACTTATGGGCATACAGCCGTACCTGTTCATTGCCATGTTGTATTCAGCTGATTTCCTTCTACAATGGCGAAGGTGAATAAAGGGACAGATGGTATGGCCTGCAGAGCCTAAAATGTTTATGTGACCCTTCATAGGGAACGTGCGCCATCCCTTGGTCTGTGTGAATGGTGCCCCTGGAGTTGCTGGCACACAGCCATGTGGTGTCAGAGGCATAGACGAGCCCCTTTCCAAGGCCTGTCCTTTTTCCCAGGCTCAGAAGTGCCACGGTGACCAGGAGTCCTGTACTCCTCTACATTGCCAGATCTGGAAGGAGCTGAGAGGGGCAGTTCCAGAGGGTAAGAGGGAGAGGGGAAGAGCACGCTTTCCTGAGTTGACAGTTCCTCTGGGTGGCAGGGCCCAGCTCCTGGACCATCAGAGAAGCCTTGTCTGCCCTGCCTCTCCCAAGCTGCCTCTTGAAGCTGAAATGAGAGGAGCAGAGTCCAGACTCTGCTGGCGTGATCGTCCCCTGCACATGACGGGAGGGGTCTGGAAGTCAAGGGGTCCAGGGAACCAAGCCTGGGCTCCACTTTGATCCCCGTACCACCTTCCATCTCCAGGTGAGAAGCACAGTGTCAGGCACTCCCCTAGAGCTGTGCTGGCTCGGGTGTGGTTCCTGGCACTGCTGTGGCATAGTCGGCAGGAACATCAGGGGAGATAGGGGAAAAAAGCAATGTAGGTTGTGTTGTGAGAAGGAGTAGAGTTGTCCATTAGTCGTATTATTCTACTTTCTGTTGTTTAATGTCCTGGTATGAAGTGGTGCTGATAGTAGGTGGGAGCTTTTGGTGGGAGTGTTTTTTGTTGTTTGGTTGGTTCTTATCAATAAGAACTTGGTAACCCAAACGTCCCTCCAGATTTTTTTCAAAACTTTTCTGGTCCATAAAATCCAGTCTTCTGGGTACCCTGGTGCAGAGGCTCTTTCCTCAGCTGCAGGAGGTGTGTGGTCCCTCAAGGACTGAGTGAGTGCCGTCTTACACTCCCAGGGAAACGCCCAAAGCTTTTATCTGATTTTCACAGTGGTCTGTGCTTCCTCTCCGCATCTCTCCCCCGAACTAAGAACAGCTACTCTAGTCTGACCCCTGCGTGTAGCTGGGAAACTGAGGCCCAGCGAGGGCATTGCTCTAGTCACACTCTGACTCACAAGACTCTCCTCCCTCCCTACCCTGGAGATCTCAGCCAGTTTCTGGGGTGTTTGGGAGGAAATGCAGCCAATTTCCAATTCTCCCGCCCACTCTGAGTCAGCCCTGCAGAGGCCCAGGCCCAGGGATCAGAGTTGGCATCTCTGGGCTCATTCCACCATCGGAGATGGAGGAAGTGAGGGAGGCCGTGGGGTTCCTGGAACTGTGCTGCCTGCTGGGTTGAACTAGTAGCTCCCCGGTCAACCTCTGATCTGTCGCAGTCCTGCCCACCCGAGACCTGGCGGCAAAGGCTTCACTGCTTCAGAGGCACTTGAGGTAGATTCTGAAAATGTTGGCGATGAAAGGTGCTTTGGTTTGGTGCAGGATCACCAGAGGCATCGCGGAAGAGCGGCAGCTCGGCCTGGTAGACCCGGCTCCCCTCAGCCTCTCATGGGTTCCTGCTCTTGGCTGAGCTTCATCAGTGTCCTCACCTGTGGAGTGGGGCTGCCCAGTCCTGCTGTGCCCCCTCCAGGGCAGCTGGGAGATGAAGGCAGTACTAACCAGTCTCCCCGTTGCCCTTGTTAAAGGATCTGCTCAGAGCTCCTTCTTCCAGGCCTGGAAGGACAGCAGGCTGGAGGCAGGTAAGAAGGGACCCAGGGCCCGGCACCAGCAGCCCAGCGCAGCTCTGCCCCTGGCTCTGCCTAGGACGTGCTTGCTGCTCCTCACCGCTTGGAGTGTCAGGCCAGCGGGAGGAGGATGACCCCGGGGCTACAATCGAGCTGACCAGATGGCCAGGGGGCTGGCCTCTCTTTGGAAAAGATGAAAGGTCTGATGAAACACTCAGGGTGGGGGCAGGGCTTAGGACAATCAAAGCTGTCAGCATGGTAAAAGCAAAAGAGGAAGGAAGTCAAACTCAGCCCCTTTGCCAGGGGAAGGCCCTGGGCAGGAGCAGTGCTCGGCCCTGCTGGGAGGGCAGTGCCCAGGCTTCTGAGCCATGGTCAGAGAGGCGCGGCATCACATATTTCATGTGTAAATGAAGCACGATGCAGTCACGTGACACACCACTTCACAGCTGGCTTTTTCCCCTAACAACCAGTCTAATATTTTTCTAGGGTGGAACATACATATCGACCTTATTCTAACTAATGCAGAATTTAGTTAACTAAATTCACTAAATCCTTATTGATATAGATTTTTAAGTGTTTAATATTAGAAACGAATTGTTGTTACTAGAAACAAGGCTGAAATCCACATCCGGGCCATTTATCTTTGCACGCTTGGCTGCGTGGGGTTAGAAGGGAGGGGTAGTTCTGAAGATAAATTCCTAGAAGTAGAAAAAAGGGGTAGAGACATTTTAACTTTGAAGTTGCAAAACTGATCTCCAGAATTATTCACTTAGCTTCCCACTGTGAGAATGTGTCTTTCCTTACATTGTCATGAGGCTTTTTAAATTGTCACTAAAATGATTGATTGGCATTCCCTTGTGTCTCGTTGATGTTTTTTCACTTTGCATGTCTCAGATAAATGAGCTGGAGCATCTTTTGTTTACTGCCCATGTCTGTTTAAAGTTTTTTAATTTTTAAAAAACCCACAATAGATCTCTTTTCATTGTAGATAAACACAAATCCAGGCATATTTTTCAGTCTTTCAACATTCCTATCATAGGAGGTTTAAATCCTGCCTCAGCTATTTAACCAGCTGGATGAACTCAGGCAATTAATCTCTCTCCGATCTTCCTTACTCAAAAATTAGTAATGATAACCTCAACTCTGAAAGGTGGTTGTTGGGATCAAATAAGAGAATATCCATAAGGTGCCTGGCCCATAGGAGGCTCTCCACAAATGGCAGCTACCATTTTAATTTTCATCTTTTTTATTGAGGTATAATTAACAAAGTTTCAATAGTTATATAGTGAGAATACATATATCCTAGATTCTACAATTCGCATTTTGCTATATACGCTTTACCACATTATCTCCCTCTATTCATCACTCTATCTTCCATCTTTTTTTTCATGCATTTCAGAGGAAATGGAAAGAGTAAGTATACTTCACCCCAACCACTTCAGTCTGTAGCATTACCTAGAATATTTGTTTATGGTTCTTTATGTTCTTAGGTAAAATTTACATACAGTGAAATGCATAAATCTTCAGTTAGGGTTTGATGAGTTTTGACAAATGTATCCACCTGTGTAACCCAAACCCCTATTAAATCCAGAACATTCTCTCAATCCTGAAACTTCTCATGCCCTTTTCCAGTCCACGCCTGTCCCCATACCTCCCAAGGTAAAGATTGTTCTGATTTTTTGTTTTCAGCTTGCCCTAAAATTTAATTTTAACAGAGTCACACAGTATATACTCTTTTGTGTAAGCGTTCTTTCAGTCAGCAGAATGTTTCTGAGTTTCTTCTATGCTATTTTATTGGTTAGCTCATTCCTTTTTATTGTTGAATAGTATTCCACTGCATGGATATGCCAGTCTCTTCATCCATTTTCTTACTGCTGGATACGTGAGTTGTTTCCAGTTTTTGTCTCTTATGAATAGAACTGCTGAGAACATTTTTGTGGACATATGTTTTCATTTCTCTTGGTAAACACCTAGGAATGGAATGCTGGTTCAGAGAGAGTAGGGATATCTTTGGTTTTATAAGAAACGAAACAGATCTTTTTCCAAAGCAAGTGTACCATTTTATATCCCTACT